TCGTGAATTTTTCTAACCGGCCGTGCACCTATCGGCTGGGTTGGACGCCAGCAACGTGCTTATGTCACAACAACTGGCGCATTCCAACCACATTGATAATTGGAATATGGTGCGAGATGTGCTTGCTATCGGCATTTCTTGGTCCAGATTTAGCGAGGGATACACGTGCCCGCTAAGGCTGTGAACCACCAAGACAGCCTCGGGCGTCGCCAAGACAGCCTCGGGCGTCACCAAGACAGCCTCGGGCGACTGCCGTTGTGCGAGAGGACGCGGCTGGGCTTGCTAGAAGCATGGCCCGGGACAGTACGTGATTTTTTTCAAGCGCAACTTTTGGGGCCTTTTTGCTGGTAAACTTAGCATGGCTGCCGCTGCTATCGAATACAAGGGATTACTAAAGGGACACAGCGGTTGGGTTACCAACATCTCTACCCCCTGGGCCAACCCTGACAGCCCGGACGCCCCGCGCGTCATCGCTTCGTCTTCCAGAGGTAATTTACACACACGCGTGTGAGTCGCCACACATGTGTGTCGGATTAAGTCGACAGACACACACACATCTGAAGGGGATGAAATACTGCTCCTTTAGACAACACCGTCATTGTGTGGCACGTTGACCCCGAGGCTTCGGATGTCAACAACGGTTTTGCCGGGTTCGCTCAGCGTTCTCTGTGCAAGCACAAGCAGCCGGTGTCGGATGTTGTGCTTTCGGCAAAGGGCGAGTACCTCCTGTCCACTTCTTGGGACAAGACCATGAGACTGTGGGATGTGAAGCAGGGTACCACTTTCAGGACTTTCATAGGTCACACGTCGGACGTGACTGGTGGCGCTCTCTCCATGGACTCCCGTCAGATCATTTCGTGCTCTCGCGACAAGACTATCCGTCTGTGGAACACTTTGGGTCAGCAGAAGTACGTGCTGTCTGAGAACCAGCATACTGACTGGATCAGCTCCGTGCGCTTCTCGCCCGACCCTAACCGTACCATGATTGTGTCTTGTGGCTGGGATAAGCTTATCAAGATCTGGAACCTTAAGGAAGGCAAGTTGGACGCTGACCTCTGCGGCCACACTGCCCCGGTAAACACTGTGGCCATCTCTCCTGATGGATCCCTCTGTGCCTCCGGTGGAGCTGACGGCTGGGTCATGCTGTGGGACATCGTCGAGGACGCCCACCTCTACTCCCTCGAAGCCTCATCTCCTGTGCACTCCCTGTGCTACTCTCCTTGCAACTACTGGCTCTGTGCTGCGACCGAGACCGGCATCAAGATCTGGGATCTTGAGAAGAGAAAGGTCATCTCCGACGTACGAATGGTTCCTTCCGAAATCGAGGAGGAAGTTGAAATCGCCGAATTCAAGAGACCCAAGGACCGGAAACCTCAGGAACTTGCCATACTCGGACAGACCCAGAGACCCCCCAAGCATCTCCCCTGGTGCACATCTCTCTCCTGGTCTCCGGAAGGCGACTACCTCTACGCCGGCTCCTACAACGGTAACATCTACGTCTTCGGCCTCAAGCACAGCACCAAGTAATTTTTTAAACCACAACACAAAAAGGCAGCATTTACCAGCATATCAGTCAGGAGGATCCGATACACCACCACCAGGCCACCTGGCGTCAGGCAGCTGATGCTTGACGCCAGGCAGCCAACTTGACACAGGGCAACCGACTTACAGTCAACTTGAAGGTAGGCAGGCGTTTGACGAAAAGGGGTTGAAGAAAAGGGTTGGAGTGTGTAACATTGAGGTGTGCGTCGGGGAAGTGGTGGAACTGGTGAGGAGGTTTGTTTTAGGACAGAGTTGCTTTATTCCCACGGATGTGTTGGCAGTGACAGAAAAATCAGGCCTCAACGGCGGCAGGCTGCTCGGGTTGGGCAGCGGTCTCAACGACGGGCACAGGTGCGGCAGGTTTGTAGGTCTTGACGTAGGGCTTGATGGTGAGTGAGTCTTGGACGTTCTTGGGATCGTGGACGAGGACAGTGTCGGGCAGAGGAGTCTTGGGTCCGTTGATGCCCTTGGGGTCGTGGGGAAGCATGATCTTGACGCGTACGCCGAGGATGCCCTGTCTCATGGCAACAGTGCGGATGGCCTGCTCGATGTAGAGGTTAGCGGGGTGGCCTCTGGAGATCATGTACCCGTCCTTGAACTTCATGGTCTTAGCTCTCTGGGCACGGAGTTTACCGGCGACAGTGACTTCACAGCCCTTGGCGTCCGACTCCATGACCGTCCGGAGCACAGCATAGCAAGCACGACGTGGCGGCATTCCCTGCAGCAATTTGAAGCGGAGAGACTCAGCCTGAGCCATAGCCGACAGACCTCTTGACTCAACACGCACAGTCACCAACTCCACCTGGTTCGGCCGGAAACCGAACCTTTTCTGAACCAATGACGCCAATTCCCTCAGACTGCGGCCAGAATCGCCCAACACATCGCGGGGACGAGTCGTGCGGATCAGCACGTACGTCTTCACCGGGGTCATTCGGACCTCAACGCCCGCGAAACCCTTCTCCCGCAGCATCTTGGAGAGAAACTCGTGCACTTCGGCACGGAAGACCCCATCAGCCACAACCTTCTTCTTCTTGCTAATCTACAACACAACGCATCCTCACCAGCCTAGCTATCCACTCAGTAGGTCTGTGGCCAAGCGACAGCCGGGGCAACCCACACACGACCCCCATCCAGGCCTCCATGGACGTCACGCGTCCTCTGTTACCACTTCAGGTGCCCTCAGGTCCGTGGCCCCCTGAGTGTCACATTGCTTACCTGGCAATCGGTCATCGTTACTGAGCAGTCAATGGGTGCAACCCGGGGTCTGCAGACAAAAATGATTTATCTTACAAAAAAAACAGCGTTTGTGTCTCACTGACTCTTCGAAACCAAAAGACTCTACACCAGACAAAAGAGTATAGCGAGTGTACAATCGCGCGTGTGTAACAGGCTTACTTTCAGAGCCTGCATTGCGTTCCCCCGATGGCTTATCCGACCCTTTTCATCTACACTCATTTCTGCGTATGTCTTCTTGTTGTCCGAGTCAGCCTGGATGTCCGGCTGGAAATTGGCGTCCCATCCGAAAGTACGCGGACCTCGAGGTTCCACTATCTGACCGTGACACACACCCTCGACGACCAACGGCTCATCACAACCGTTCATTAAACACATTGTCGTCTTTGCCTCCGCTCCCTTGTCCTCAAATCCAACCAGCATCTTCGTCAGACCCTCATTACCCAACTCCTCCAAGAACCACCGACTACAGAGAAACACCACTCTTGTGACGGCCACACTGAGCCCATATACTTGGGACTATACTCCCGACTTACATATAAGGACCGGGCAACCCTCCCATTGCGTCAAAGCCGAGCGACGTGTCTTCGGTCATAACGTAGCTACCTGCTTCTATACTGTCACGCAGGTGCTCAAATGCCCACCGACACTTTTCCGTAGTGATGTACCGACTATTTCCTTGAAATTCAGGAACTACAGCAATATAAAAAGTAACCAACTGTTGTACATACCGTCCGCCGCTCTTGCCAAAATCTCCACACCACTTCCACCTATCAGTCTCTCCACCTCTTTCCTTTTATTTTCATTTCCAGTCACGAAGTAGATTTTCATCACGCAAAAATTCAGGAAAAATCGCTACACATGATCGCTGTGGACCTCACGCTCACTTGGTCTTGCTGGCATCAGCAGCCAAGGCGGACGAGGTGAGAGGTGCTGCCCAAAATACGACGCTATCTTGGATTGCCCTGCTGCTCGCGGCGGTGTGGCAGCAGCCTTATCGCCATGCGAGTACCGTTTCGGATTAATTGCATTATTGCTCTTGCAGCTTTGGAAATCGGAAGCCGATGGGCCAGGAGAGGTCAAAGACGTCCTAGGGTATTGTATCGGTTCACGAATTGCACTCATTTCTGGAGTAGAGCTTCTGGGCTCTTCCAAGGTCAGCGTAACAGGTATCATTGTACCGTCGCTCGGCACTTCTGAATTGAACATGGAGTCAGGAACTTGCAGGACGCACTCAAAGTTCGCGTGCACCGGCTGATGATCTTCGTCGTTAACGGGACTTCTGCAAGCCTCCACATCTGGGCCGCAAGGAGTTTTCCATTGAAGCTCCTCTAGTTCTCTCCATTTTAGTAAAGCTTTTCGGGAAGCAGCAGTAATTGCCAGTGTCAAAGAGAGACTTAACGCTATCATCCATATGCTCGATTCAGGAACACTTATCATGTCCTCTCCGTAATACGAATATCCTGCTATTGCACCAATCACTAAGGCAGAGAGAGAGTGTGTGGCTATGCTAACCTTCAATATTGCTCCGGCCGGTGAACAAATCGACCAGCAGCCTATCAATGAAGCAAAAATCAAGGGCAAGGAGAGAAGCAAGTTCCCTGTTCCCAGGCATGACAGCGCTAATCCAGATTCTCCGCCACATAACACGGCGAAGACAATAAATTCACGATGGGTTCGTTCTTTCACTGTCATCATCTATCATTTGATGCGCCGTTAGCACACGTGTGTGCACCTACCAAAAGAGAGGATTGAAAGCTGTAGACGCGTTCTGACATGGCTTGAGAGTGATTTTGGGATGGAGGTGTATTATCCGTGACTCCGCAAAGTGCATGCTCTTGTGACGACCACGCACTCAGAAGAATGGGTAACGCTTGCGCCAAGAATGCACCTGAGCAGGTGAAGGAGCCCGCCGCTGCTAATCCCCCTCCGGAGCTAGACACGGATGATCTAGACGAGTTGGAGCGCATGAATGAGCGTCTACGTCAGCAGAAGCGCGAGCTTGAAGAGGAACTCGCTCGTTGGCGACAGGCCCAGCAAGAGAAGATGGACGCTTTGGACAGGGATCTGGAGGAAGTACAGAAGGAATCCGCCCAGATTCTATCTGCGGGTGCCACCAGTGGCGAGGTTCGCGAGTTGGCGAACAAGCAGTTGGTTGAGGAGATGACAGCACAGGAGTTGGAGGAAAAGAATATGTTGGAGAACCGTAGAGACTTTTTGAAGCAACAGGTGGAGGAGATGAAAGCAGAAAACGTGAGGCTGGAGGATCTTGCTACCCAAACTGAGACGGCTGCCCACGAGTTGGAGGATGTTCTCCAACAGCTGGACTCTCCCGAGGCAGTCTTGCAGGAGGAGAGTCCCGAGGGAGTGGATGCAGCGCGACTGCGTCGCTTGGGAATGTTGGCTGAGTACTACAGACCTGTGAAACAGCCAGGTAGTGTGGCACAATGTTGGGAGCAGACTCGGGTGGATTGTGCTGAGTGTTCATCGCAGACGGTTCGTAACTTGAAGGCGCTTGCTCACCACTGGATGACCGGCGACGACTCGTGGTACGTGTCTCGGCCAATTCGAGGGGTGATCTGCAATTCGCTGAAGATGGGTAACGTGCCTCATGATCCTTGGACCTGCGATCTCTGTGACTATCTTGACATATCAGACATCCCCATTTTCGTATGATTTTTAAGCCAGTGCATCGAAACAATATTTTATCTCGCTAACTCCAACTGTCTGAGGTGAGTGGACGAGCGCCTGGGTTATGTTGACCGGGGCCACCGCGATTTTCCGTTGGGAAAATAATAGCGCATGTCTTCGTCGATACGCAAGGTTGCGTTACGAGGTATCAAGGGAGATATTGGCTTCGATCGATTGCAGGCTCCAGTGGTTGATGCGGGAGGGTTGCGTGAAGTGGATGTGGGGACCTTGCGAAAATTATCGGCGGAACAATTACGAAAGCGTTATGGTATCAAGTTGAGCCAAATTCAGAGCTCTTGTTTGGTGCAGTTTAAGGGAAGTGAGAAAATAGTTAATATGAAGCCGTTAATTTCGTTTGAGGATCTGGAGCAGTATCTGCCGGCTCGGTGGACGGAGTACTTGGTCAGTGGGTTGCATTTTACGGAGCCGACCCCTGTGCAAAGAGCTGCACTTCCTCTTGCGTTTTCCGGTCAGTCGTTTCTCGCAATTGCACCAACCGGTTCTGGAAAGACCCTCGCGTTTGTATTACCGGTGGTATTAAAGCTGTACAGTAGAGCAATGACTATCGAGCGGACGGTGGAATCTCCGGAGTGTGGGCGTTGTCCGAAGGCAATGATCTTGTCACCGACTCGTGAGCTGGCTGTGCAGACATGTCGGGTGATTCAGAATTTAATTGACAATGTGGATGTAGATATAAAGGTTACTGATATTAGTCGTCTGGACAAAAATTCTGACATAATCGTTTGTACTACGGGAGTAACTAAGCAGGTGCTTAATTACTCTCGTAGTACAAAGTCGGCATCCATGCTGGGTGAGACGATCTTAAGTAGGGTAGAAACGGTTGTCTTTGATGAGGTTGATGCGCTGCTGGACGAGAGTTTTATTAAGGAATCGGACTTGGTGATGTCTATGTGTTCTGCCAAGCAGATTATGATGTTTAGCGCAAGTCTTCCAGCTCGAGTGATGGATTTGGCAAATTCTTTGCTGATCAATGCGCCGGTATTGAAATTGAAGAGTACACTGGCTGCGGCTGACAGTATAGAACAGGAGTTGGTCCACGTTGCAAACGAAGTAGGTAAATTGACGATGCTGAAGCAATTATTGGATGAAAGGCAGTTACTGCCGCCTTGTCTTGTGTTCGTTCAGGACAAAGATCGGGCGCAAATGCTCGAGAAATATATGAAAAAGAATATAAGCATGAAAGGGTCGGACAAGCCGGTACCTGTGGGTTCTTTACATAGTGGTTTGTCACCCAAGAACAGGATAAGCAATCTGAACGCGTTTAGGAAGGGGGATTTATGGATTTTGGTCTGCACTGATCTTGCCGCACGCGGAATCGATTGCGTAGGCGTAAGATGCGTACTTAATTTCGACTTACCCACCTCCAGGGAAGCATATATACATCGAATAGGACGCAGCGGCCGAGCCGGATTAAAGGGTAAATCCTTTACATTTTATACCGAACAAGACAAGACCTTTATTCGGGTAGTAGCATCTGTAATGAAATCAAGCCGTATCACCGTTCCCAAGGAACTAGACCAATGCAAGAAAATTAATACTCTTGATCTCATCAAACACCCACCGTTCAGACGACCTATCGGGGTGCTCGAAGGAAAAGCAAAATATGCATTCATGAAACAACGAGCGGATCAAAAGAAAGTTCAGGCCGTCAAGAAACAAAGGGACATCATCAAGAAATCCAAGAAGATGAAAGCGAAACGGAAGTTAATGAAAGCTTCCTCAAATACCGTATCGTAGGCTACAGGCTAAGCATCAGCTACGATTCACGTTGCCCTAATTAAATCTCCACCTCTATTTTTTGGTAGAACAGCCTGGCTTGGTTGGCACAATCATACTTTAGAGAGAGAGCTGGGGGGATTGTAGAGAGGAATGAGGGGTTTAGAATTGTTGTTAAGTAGACTTTATTAGTTCGTCCACAACAAGGTTGAACTGGCGTGGGGTGCTTTTTTAAAATGTCGGTCTTGGTCCGGCGTGTGGTGGGCCTTGTGAAGGAATGGACCGCTTGGTCCTTTAGCCGCAACTCCCCATTTCCTCAGGTAAGATATTGGCCCGAAAATCATTATTGTCTGTCTCGTCATAATTCGTTGGTCTTAAAACCATGAATGCTGGTGCTCGATGAGGTTGACGATGCCAGTTAATTGACGATACGGCCGCTTCCTCA